GTACCATCTAGCCCATTTATTGGTAGTGGTAATACTGGTTTTGTTTGCTGTTTAACTTATTTTCTTTTAGTATCAAAGAATAGTCCACTGTGGGACTAAAGCTTAGTTTATCCACTCAACTACTGAAGGACATTTTATTATTTTGCAACTTTTGTGGATTATAATAGAGCTGCAAGTAACATTATGTATACCTATGTTTTCAACTTTTTCATGCACAACAATATTTTGAAATATATATAAATGTGGAATGATTAATTCTAGATAATTAATACAATGCCTTTATTACTATAGTTACATATCTGGAAGTTGAATATCAGTAATTGTCAAAAATAACTTTTGAGAAAAAAAATTAGAGAACTCATCAAAGCTCTGAAATGACACACACACACAGAGCCACACATTTAATTTATTGATTAGGAACAGTAAGAAATTAACATCATCTTAGGTCTTAGTAACTTAAACATATAAATTTTCTATCCTTATTGAGAAATTTTACCTTTACCTTGGCATGCGTCAATTTGCCAGCATTAACTAATACTATGTATTGTTTTCAGATAAACATTTTTGTACTACTCTATTCAATCTGATAAATAATATTCCCACTAACTGATGAAAGAGTAGGTAACATATATTGTGCGGATACATTGGACAAAGGAATGTTCCATATCTTGGGTTAGTTAAAGCTTAACAAAGAGAAATATTTATTTATGTTCATTGGAGAAGCACATAATTTTAGTTATTAATTATTAATTTCTAGAATTTTTCATTCAATTTTTAGCACAGCTGCAGATAATTGAACTCATAAGAAGCAAAACTAGGCATAAAAGAAAAGTGAGGTGGGAACTATTACATAGGAATATCAAGGCATTGCTGGGGTTCCAGCAATACATATAGTGGAATGAGGAATGTGCATCCAAAAACCTGGAAGACACTTAAAAATGTTTCTAAACTAAGAGAACTCATACTTCTAACTGTCTCCATTAACTTGGATCTAAGGAAAATAAACTGGAACAATATCACAATCACTGAAAATCTGAGAAAACAAACCACAAGAATAAAACTCAACAGAAAAATCAACTACTGAATTTGCCCATTGACTAATAACAGGGGTTTATCAGAGTTCAAAGGAATCTTATTTTGATTACATATATAAAAATATGATTAAGAATGTAATGTAGCAATAAAAATATAGTGGAATTAGGATTTTTAAAATTTCATTTATTATTTTTATTTTATGTGTACAAGTGCATTGCCTGCATGTATGTGAGTGCACCCATGCCTCCGCAGTGCTGCGGAGGTCAGAAAAGGGCTCTGGATTTCCCTGGAACAGGAGTTAAGGATGGTTTGTAGCTGCCATGTGGGTGCTGGGAATTGAACCCGGGTCCTCTGCAAGAGCAGTCAGTACTTTTAACCACTGAGCTATCTCTCCATCCCCGAAATTAGGAAATTTTTAAAAAACCAAGCAGTGATTCTAAAAATACAGACTATAACTGATGTACAAATTCAATGAGGAGTTAAAGAAAATTAGTTTAACAGACATAATAATGAACTTGGTCTATTGACATATAAAATTCTTAAGTCAACACGTTTCAGATTCTCATGCAAATGTGTATTTGATGTTTTCCCAGGACTTCTATCTCCTAAAATATTGATATTTTCCTGTTGAGATGATTCTTCTGTCTTTTGGCCTTGTAATTCAAAAAAATGAATTAGCAAGCTTTCTTGACCCCCATAGCAATTAGTCATGATCTCAGGTAATCCTCAGCTTACCATTCACCAAAGCTTTGGCAGTATGGGCATTTGTCAATAGATTCAGAAACACATCTATTACTTGCCACAAACTACCTATTGTACCTTGAATATATCTTTGAGATTTTTTTTAACCCCATTTGTCACATTAGAAAAGTAAATGACTATATATTTGCTATTTATAATGAAAAAATGCACTTTATTTTTTACTTATAATGTCAGGAAAAAATCTGTGAAAATGCACCACATCAAATTATTTGCCAGCAGGCTAGTGGGTATAAAAATAGTAATAAAGATCTCTATTAAATACCTACATTTAACAACTTGATACCTAAGGTTTCAATATTCTTAATATTTTTTAGGTAGATGCTACAGAAGAAAAAAGCAAAGGATACTATTTGTTGAGAAATAGATTTTTATCTGGATATATTATTGTATTATTATTAATATTTTATATATCATTGTACCTTTGAAACACCCTTAAAAGAAAAACTAATTGTCCTTTTTTATTAAAGAATCAAACTGAAATTTCAATATTAGAAAAAAGAAAAAAATGGAAATAGAACCTCCGTCTCTCTGAATCCAAGCCCACACTACTGGTGTTTCCCCCTTTCCTTGGGAATTTCTATTTTCCCATGAAACTCTCTTCAGAGTGTTTGTGAATATGGAAAAGAATGACATTTCATAAAGTTCTTAATATACCAGCTGCAAAAAATAACAGAATTTCTTTTCCTCTTGTGAATAACATTTGCAAAATAAGGAATAATTTTGAATGCAATTTTCCATATTTGGCCTCAGAGGATTTTTATAAAGTTCTTCTAAACTCACGTTGATATTAAATTATGAGAATAAGAAAGCATAGTAAACATTGTATCCTTAGGAAATTATGTATGACTTGTTCGAAACCCAGTGTCCCATAACTCTGTGCTTTTCCTCAGTGGGTGCTTTCTGAAGGATAGCTTTCGCACATTCCATAAAATAAGTACAGGTGGGGATACTTACCACATACATTTGGACAGTATTCATTGAAAACTAAAATAAT